GGACAGCCACTTCCTTGATTGGCTGCTCCCTGGGACCCAGTGTGGCCTGGATGGGGGAGAGTCCCTTTCTTGGGGCTAGACTTGCACCTGCAAATGCTCAGGCTGGGAAGCAGGGGACACTGGTAAAGACGCCAACCCTTGAATCTGGGCTTCCTCTCGACTTCCCAAAGCCACACCAGCTCCTACCTGGCTGGCCCCCACCTCCCTGTGGGATTTGGAAGCAGTTGGTTTTCTGCCAGCTGGGCAGTATACCATACGATGCTGGTCAGAAGGCTCCAGGGAACCATCCCAGTGAGGTAGGGATGCTTCCAGTCTATCTGGTTATGGGTTGTGTCTGCCACTGGGATGAAAACCCCAGGAAATCTGGATCTCTGTTTGTCCCCCACTGTAGCCTGAGCACCTAGAATCGTGCATGGCTTGCAGAAGGCCCCGTGGCTACCTGAGCTCCTAATTCAGGCAAGGGGAGCAGCAGAATGGGAAGAGCTCTGGAAGCAGGGCACCTGGGTGAGATCCAAATCTCCAGCCCCTGCCATGTGACCTTGCAGAAGTCCCCATTCTCCCTGACCCTCAGTCTCTTGTTTGATGAAGTGGCTCTCTCAATAGCTGTTCCACAGGAGCACATGAGGTAAGACACACAAAGCGCCTTGCTCGAGAGAGCCATGCAACCATTCACTCCTCCCAGTCCCACCACGACCTTCAGAGTAGGACACATTTGTTCCTGGTGAAGGGAGCCCAGGAATAATCTGATCCTAGACTGAACTCCTGGGTCCCAGGGTACAGCCCAGGGTTGGGCATGCGGAAGAGGCTCTGAGTACATGGCAGGATGTCAGAGACAGGGCCTTTGAGGTGGCACCAGGGCTCTCTGACCTCGAGAGGAAAGGGAACTTGTTCATGGTCTCACTAAGAGGTAGTCACACGCTGGGACCAAATTTGAGCTCTCCTTCCTAAGTGTGGCACCATTTTTGTGAGGTAAAGCATGTGCTCCCAAGGCCGATGAGTACAGCTCTCTAATGATAGCACATCATGGGAGGAGATGAATAGACAGGATCTGGCCAGGCTTTTCTAAGGTCACCTGTCTATAGAAGAGGGACAGACAGAACAGAGTTAGTACAGTGGACTGTCGAGTTATGACCAGCCTGATATATGAAGAACTTGGGTTATGACCGGAATTTTAGTTTTAACTTATGATCAACGTCTTGAGTTATGAGCCGATTGCTGGCCGCTTGTGCTTCCAGATGATCTCAGATACAGATTTCACCCTTATAGACTTCTGGAAGGAACATGACAACATCCTTTCCTGTGTGGGGTTAACTGAGAAATCCTGGGCCAGTGTCCCTCTGAGATCTGCCTGTGTGCAGGAGAGAGACTGTGAAGGCTGTGTACAGGAGCCTGGGCCTCCATCAACCAACTTGGGTTATAACTAGCCCTTGGGAACGAATTGAGTTTGTAAGTCAAGGGTCCACTGTATTTTTGTACTCATTCTAATATCCACATACTCTGTCACAATGAGGGCAGGGCTCTTCTCTCTCCTTGCCTTAGCCCAACTTGCTTTTTGAGGTGGGAAGGAGACAGGCTAGGGGTTGATTTTGGTCATTCTGTAAGTGGAAAGTGCACTGAACTTGTGGTCACCCAAGTGGAAACCCTTGATGTAGTCCCCACCTTCTTCATGACTATCCTGCTGCAAGTCATTGAATTTCTTAGATCACGTGGTATTAATCCATAAAGAAGGAGAATGATAAGAATAGTCCTAAGGGTGAGTGGTGAACACAGAAAATGAACAAAGAGTACAGTATTCCTTTTTTTCTCCAATGGTTCATGTAATGTCTTTAACTCTCCCATTCTATTCAGGAGCTACCTCATAAATGGAATAAACAGGTGGATGCTCAGGGTTGAAGGAATCTTTGCAACTTCCAGTGGGATACAGACTGAGACAGAGATGACATGTGACATACACACTGAGTCCCAACTCCATGCAGGTTCATAGCTAATGCCTCTGAACGTCTCACACTAGTAATCAATTGATCTATAGATCTAGGAAAGGAGCCAATGCCTGAATTTCAAAGGGAAGGACCAACTGTTATATCTCCTGTTAAAACTCCATGCAATAACTGTGGAGACTGGATGCCTTATTAACTTTGGATAGATGCTCACCTGTTCAAAAGGTGCAACTCTTCTTTTTTCGCCTATCACAAGAGTCATTAAGCTGTTATGCTCGCGAATGTGATAGCATTTGAGGAACACTATGTCCTCTAGCCTTCGTGATAACCCTGAGAGGAAGCAGCTATTATTATCTTCAGGAAAATGAGGCTCAGAAAGGTTAGGCACCATGATCAAAGTGGCTGTTCTCCCCCACGGTTCCTGAGAACTTGTTCTCATAGTGGGCAGAAGAGGGACAAACCTCCATAGCTACTTAGGCGCAGGTGAAAGACTAGAACCCTGTGCGTCCTAAGCCCTGCTCTTAGGCTTAAGAATAGCTGTCACATCTGATGTGCATTTCCTGCAAGGAGTTTCTCAATTGTTTACATGTAAGTCCTAGAGCTGTTTAAAAAGAACTCGCCTCTGGGACGGATAGAACTTTAAGGATTTGCTTTGAGACATTGGTTTTTTGTTAGCTTGTATTTGAGGAAGGAATGAGAGAACCAGTTAAGTTGAAAGTCTGAAGCTGCTCTCTATGTTATGACTGCTTTAAGGATGGGGGCAGTGGTACAAGCAGCATACATACAGATGCCCATGGTCTCCCAGGACCAGGGTGCAAGGTGTCATCCTGGGTGTTACAAAGCATCAGAACGAGAGCAAACAATGGTGCCGTCTGAGACGTGGCTAAGGCCACAGCCAGGAAATGCAAGCCCAGCTCCTGCAAAGGATCTCATTCTGCTGCTAGCACTCCAGACCATGCAATAACTTGTTTGGACAGCAGGTTTCTTGGTGAACTCACTGAATTAATTAATCTGACAGTCTCTGTCCCTCTGTCTATAAACACCCAGCTGTGTACAGCACAGTTCGATGTTAGCACAGGGTGTCTTCCTGATGCTCCAGAGATTGATCAGCCACTAAAATTCAGCTGCCATCACGGCACCTAAATGCTGCCCTGGCTGCTCCATGATGGTAGCCACGAGCACCCGTCAGGACCAGGCAAAGGAGTGGGCTGTCAGTGTGTCTTCCAAGAAGACAGATGCAGTATCAACTGTGAAAAACATTCATCTGAGGGAGCTGCTTTCTGAGCCCAAGGCATATTTTTTTGGCTCTCCCCCCTCAACTGGGGCAAATGCTTGGTCTTCTTGGACAGCTTGGCATTTGGAGAACAGCCACATCACTCAGAGCTAAGGGCAGTGTACAAGGTGATGGGTGTCACGGAAGAGGAGGCAGGGCTGATGGTGGTCAAGTCCAAAGTGTGACTCTAAGCAATGGACGTGAATTTTTGGCAAGGCTTACCAAGGGTGCTGAAAGCCATCTGCTGGGAGACACTAAACATGGAAGTGGTGTGAGCAATGACAGCTTTTTTGAGGACATAGATGGTGAGGACATAGATGGCTGTTCCACAGTCCTATTCAAAGGCTAACGCTCCCCAGAATGCATGCATTTCAGGCTACACTGGTCCCAGCCAAAGCAGTTACTTACCAGTCACACTTTCTCCAAGAGTGTCAGTGCAGTGGGTGAGGAGTAGGGAAGAAGACCCAGGCAACTACAACCCACCCGCCTTTTTCTCCAAGGTGTGATCCAAGTGAATGGAAATGTGAAAAACAAAGGAGGAATTCCAAGTTATATGAAAACTGAGCATGGACTCTGGGGACATCTCCAGAGGTTTGCCTTTCCATACTCAACTGCTGACTATAAAAGAGAGGCACAAAATAAAAAGGGTCATTAGGATGGAGATCAGAAATCCCCTTCTAGAAGACGTCTGATTAGGGGTTGGCAGTTTGGAGCACAGGTTGCTGGCTCAGTAATCACTCCATGTTTGCCATCCCATCTGACTGCCACTTCTGTGAGAACTGGGACCTGAGTCAACAAAGTTTTGTAAACGTCTCCACACTCAACTTGATAGCACATACTTAATACTAAGTATGTTGACAGTGAGGGGGAAGAAAGAGAATCACGATCCAAACAACATCCCTTACACAAACACACACACACACACACACACACACACACACACACACACACACACCTG